ATAGTGTTTATTTTCCTTCCTTCGCTTTTCCTTAAGACAAAATATTCGTACAAAGACATGCGTTATTATCAATCCTGACTCCTTCCTTACTAGGCCTACTCAAGAAACTTTCACTATATCATCCAAAAGCTGTTTTCTCGAGCATCTTACTTACTCACTCTCACCACCTTCTTCGGCCAATATCACTATTCATTGGTAAATAATAGCCTAGAAGATGTCGGTGTATGCTGTTGAGTAGCTAGTTGCCTTCCCTCTGGTCTATCACTTCAAAACTAGCGCAGATAACCCTCGAGTAGCTTTGCGCGAAACAACTCAACGAACAAATAGACAAAAACACCCCTTCTACCCTTCAAACTACAGCGAGACTGTAGAAAGTAGATCAACCGGTGGTTTAGCAGAATGTGGTCATGCAGCATTTGTCTGACCTCTTTACTCAAGGCTGATTCAGGTGTGTTGCCTTACCTACGAACATACGACTGGAAAAGTAAGTAGCTCCTCCCTCGACACAGCTACTGTGTAGTGTTGGCAAGTGGACTATTTCCTCAAACACGTCATTGAATATTTTAGTGTTTTGTCTTCCCTTATTTCCGCGGGAAGCGTCTGGAGTCAAGAGTACCTTTATCGTGTGAATATCCGAAAGAATATTTACAAAACAGCAAAGAGAAATAAGAATTGTTTGATTGGAGAATGAGAACAGTCTTTTAGGGTAAAGCACGTTCAACTTTCCCTTCGAAACCTGTTTGTCGTGGCGTGCAGTCACGATAAATGATGCGTAGGCTTAGTAGTATGGATGGTATAACATTCGCGAGCTTACTGTGTTTCGTTAGCTTGAGTTTATACACAGGAGGTAAGTTTTAATTTTCTTAATTTTAGATGTTTTCAACTTCAGAAGCACATTTAGAAAAACACATTTATATAGTTTCTTTCTGAAATTTAAATTTTAATGTTCTACCATGACCAACTTGCCCAATGTATAGAAGTTGCGTTCAGTGCCTAAAGTCGTAACGTCCCAATTTTGAATGAGTACCAGGTTTTTCGCACCTTTCACGAGCTTAAAAATTCTGCAGTGGACAACTAACTAATACATAATATGTATGTATGGTTATAATATATTTTAATTAAATTGAGTGAGCTGTCATTCCAGCCCTGCCTCCTTGGTACCTAATATATAACGTACTTGTAAAGCATATAGACAGTAAGAAGGCCTCGAGAAACGCCTATACGTGCAGCCAAGGTTCTCTGAAGTGATTTTAACCACTTGTTTTAATCCAATAACTCTACTTCACAAAAGCTAAAAGTATCGTTGTTAACATCCCAAATATAAAACTACCTTTCGTGATCTTTTGTGTATTTTAAAAAATATTTTTAAGCCGTAGCATCTGAGTTTGCTTAATGCTTTTAGAAATTCGTGTCTATTTGAAAAATAAGTACAGACAAACACTGAAGTAGTTCAAATTTATATCAGTAGGTGATGTTTTTCTTTTGAAAAATCATTGATTTTTATTGTTTTATTTAATCATTTTTTAAAGAAACGCATGGATATGGAATTAAAGAATCAGACTTGAAATGTTACAACTGCTCGTGGACTCGAGCACTGCACGAGCATCTCCATACCGCCAAAACCGAGCCTCCTGTAGAGCTTATGTGTGATCGTAAAGTATGTAATATCACCGATGGAATGTGTATTAAAGAAATCAATAAAATTGGAGGTAAGTATATAATTAACATTAACCGACTATTTCATTTTTCATCTCTAAGTCTCAAAAAAGAGAGTCTAAAACTAGAGTGTTGAGGGATTTTCATTAAATTTAGTGTATTAATAAAATTAATAATTATACGAATTACATACTTTTTAGTGACATTGGTCTAGTTCAGTGGTTCCCAACCTTTTTCAATGCTGACACCCCTTGAGATTTTGAAATGCCATCCCGTACACCAGAGTTAAAAGCAAAAAATGAAATTTTTTTCAGGTCAGATTATTAAGTACTAATTAATAAGTATTTTTAATTAACACAAATTTTCGAAAAGAAGAAAAACACTTATTTTGCCAGAAAAGAAAATACATTATCATGAGTCAGAAAAACAAAAATTTTCACACAAATTAGATGTACATAATATTCGAAAACTCGTATAAAATCATATCAATGTGACGTTTATTCTTGTTTCTTCGCAATTATGTCTGGAATACGGGGTTCCTTTTTGCTGAGAGCGATGCGCATGTCGTGCTGAGCATCGTGGCGATTCCGAAACTTGCTTTTCACATGAAGAAGAGTCGAAAACCCTACTTCGCAAAGATTTGTTGTTGCGAAGGGAACAAGTAGAGTAAGTGCTTTCTTGGAAATGTTTGGGAATCTTGTTATTTGTGATCTCCAAAAATTTTCCAAAGTCTTCACTTCGAACTCCATTTTTGCAGCATGATCATTTTTCATGCCAATTATTCCCTCTTTGAAAGGCATATCGCTTAACTGAAACAGAAACGGGTTCCTCATCCAGCGATCGCTGGCTTCCATGCAGGAAATTCAATACGCATTCACCATGAACAGCTATTAAATGTCTTTCATGGGTATTTCTCTGCAGGAAATTTGGGTAGGTTTCCATCGCTAAATGGAAACCTAGCCAAATTTCCTGCAGAGAAATACACATCAAAGGCATTTAATAGCTGTTCAAGGTGAATGCATATTGTTGTGGCAACTTCTGGAAATAGTGACTCGTGTTCTTCAACAACTTCTTCCAGCGATGGAAACCTAGCCAAATTTCCCTTCAGAGAAATACCCATCAAAGGCATTTAATAGCTGTTCATAGTGAATGCATATTGTTGTGGCAACTTCTGGAAATAGTGACTCGTGTTCTTCAACAACTTCTTCCAGTGATGGAA